TCTCTCTCTCTCTGTGTGTGTGTGTGTGTGTGTGTGTGTGTGTGTGTGTGTGTCTGTTTGTAGGTCATGAAACAAAGGGGAATATGAAGGGGGAGAAGGGATCTTGGGGAGCAGGTAGCAGGGCGAGAAAGTGTAAACGAATGCATGTGACATGAAGGAAGAAGACACACTGTTTAGGAGAAGAAAGGGGCAGTGGACTGGCTCTGGACATGTAAGTAAAAAACACCATAATGGAGCCTATTACTTTTATGGTACTTTAGAAATTAATTTTAAAAGTATTTTTTATTACAGCCATTTTTAATCCAAGCTATTTTAGGCATGATTACCTTCTTTAACTATTTTTATTTCCGATAACCTGGATGGTTCTATTCCACCCAAATGCCAAGATTGTCTTCCATGTACTAGAAAAGAGTTGCTGGGTTTCGGAAGCTCAAGGATCCTTGTGCGCTGTCCTGTACCTCGCCCTGGACCCTCATGTCACGTTTCAGTTCCATCTGTACTCTCTGTGTGTTTGACCCCACTCCGACAGGCAGAAGGCCATCCAACAGGGTCCTCTCCATTTCTTGATGGAAATGCTCCCTACTGTGCTGCCCAATGGGACAACAGCAGTCTGTCACTTCTGAGCAAATACGTGGCTGGTAATGGCCAAGACACTATATTTTGATCAAGTACCTTTTAATTGTTTACAATGTAAAAAGCAACATGTATACAGTGGCCACCATGTTTGACAGTATTGGTATCCTTATCTGACATTTCATGGGAAATGTCCTCTAATTTTGGTTTTTCCTTTTGACAATTGCCCTTGACACAGTAGAATGGCTCCGTGGTGAGCCCAGCTCCAGACCTCAAGGGAACAGCTCTTGGTTTTAGATCCACAAAATGTTGCCTGCAAGCCTGATTGAACAATGCCTGTGACACATACTCATGGAGCTGTGTGAGTCTAGGGAGGACACCTGCACTGTTTCTGTACCATGTTTTGAAAGCTTAGGTTTTCATCGGAAACACGTACATTATTTCTGTCCTTGTGAAATGATGCCATGTTTTCCTGTTCAGTTCCTTTAGGTTTTTAAATAAGGAGAATTAAGGGGTCAAATAAATAGGAAGATATTTGTTAACTATCTATGTAAGAAACTCAGACAACACTTTATGCCAGGGGAATAAAAACATTAACAATATGAACCAAAAACCTAACTTCTGGGCTGGGCGTGCAGCTCCTACCCAGTGTCCCCGAGACCCTGTACTGAGTCCCCACAACTGCAAAGCAGCACTTCTCACCCCAGTCTCTGGTTTGCTGAGACAGAGGGAGATACTGATTTTTCTTAAGCGCAGCAGAGTCTGCATCACGATCAATGATCATTTTACCCTCTACGTCAGCTAGAAAAATTAAAGAAGCCTGAATCAAACAAAACTGTTCTGACCTTTTGTTTATTCTTCTAGTTTTGCACACTTCTTTGTTGCAAAAATCATAGAATCTTAGTGTGGAAAAAGGCTCAAGAAATCCCTCAGACACCAGAGCCTTCCCCTAGCATCAGAGACCACCCAACATGAGAGACCACCTAACATGAGAGACCACCCAGCATCAGAGACCACCCAGCATCAGAAACCACCCAACATCAGAGACCACCCAACATCAGAGACCACCCAACATGAGAGACCACCCAACATCAGAGACCACCCAGCATCAGAGACCACCCAGTATCAGAGACTACCCAACATCAGTGACCATTCAACACCAGAGACCACCTAACATGAGAGACCACCCAACATCAGTGACCACTCAACATCAGTGACCACCCAACATCAGAGACCACCCAGCATCAGAGACCACCCAGCATCAGAGACTGCACAGATGCTCTCATCTCCTCTACACATCCTTGAAGGCAGGTGCAGAGGTCTGGTACAGACAACCTCCTTGTTGAGATCTAACCACTTTACAAGCATGGTTTCACATGGCTCTTCTAATGACGTCTCCTTTTTACTTAAAGGCCATATAGTAATTTATCTATCCTATAAAATAGATTCTGATTTGTCAAATGTTTCAACATGTAATGAACATCCCCTGTATCTCCAAGTTAACCCCCAAAATGTCCTACAGATTTTACCCATGTGACACATTTTCAAAATCCCTTGCAATTCTGCTAATTTGTCAGGTCCTAAGCTATGAGAACTCTTTCCAATGTGGTGCCCAGTCCTGGACCCAATACTCCAGGATGAGTTTAGGAGACTCTGGACCTTCCATGTAACTAGATTTCATCCCTCCACAAACAGCACTGTCACAGTTGAAGCAGATCAACACCCCCGTATAGAGCTCTGTTGGCATATTACCTTTTAAAAAGTTGGAGACATCCTCCAGTTGCGGGATGTTGTCTTCCCGATAGCCACAGTGTTTGGAGAGCAGAGGAAGGTTTCTGAGGTACTCCCTGCAGGCATGGGTCGGGTAGAGTTTGTTCAGCTCTCGGAAGATGGTTCCCCAGGTCTTAATCTCTTCTTCTGTGAATTCAATCTTGGGAATGGGGTCCCCACTAATGAGATCAAGATGAGGAATTCTGCATTGTAGTTAGGTAGTTACATTTATGTGACTTTCTATTTACTAAGCAAACACACTTATTCCATTGTTTTGTTATCTCAAAGTTAGATATGTTGGCTTGTAATAAATATACTTACTGTTTGTAGTTCATAGCCAACTCTGCAAAATACTTCCGTCTTCTACGGTAGACATTGTCTTTGAAGCCCTGATAATTAAAAGTAATTTAATATTGAAACTAAAAATATTTGAAAGTGACATCTAGGAAACACTTCATTATTTTGTCTGGAGATATTGAAGAACTACATAATTGTTACCACAAGCAAGCAATGATTAGAGATATGTGGCCATTTTTATTTTGAAGTCAGCAGTTACACACCAGCTTTATCATCTCGTAGATAGAAATAGAAATGATATTTTTATAAGATCCTACAGTGAGTACAAAGGCTGACTAGAGAACACCATCCTAGTTAAGTACATAGCTCTTATCTTGTTTTGTTTTCCTTAATCACTTCACTGTATCTTCAGTTATGTTTACCCATGGTAGGAATTAGTAATAAAAAGACTGAGGTGTAATTCAGCAATAGAGTGTCTGCCTAGAACACTTGCGACCCAGTACGGCAAATAATACTAAATTAGAAGTTAGTACTTAAAATAGTGACTTGACTGAACTCAACTTCCCAGCACTGATCTGCAAGTTGTGTCTGTGGTGTGGAGAGAGCAGGTGAAGGACAGAGGAGGCACAAGAACTTGTGCAGAGAAGGAAAACATGTTCAGGATACAAAAATGCAAGCCGCGCCATGCTTCCGGCCCTTGCACGGTGCGTAGATAGTGTTGAAGACTAGCTGGGGGCCTGCTGGTTATAGGTCTGCTAAGGAGCTTGGATTTTGACCTCAGGGCTGTATTGGTGCTCTCTTAGACTAACAGCGACACTGAGATACAACTCATATGCCACGAGACAGCCATTCATAGGAGCTAGCAACCATGAGCATAGTTTCTGTTTGTTTTTGATTTTGAGATGACATCTCAGTGTTGCCCCGGCTAACCTTGAAACTCGTAATCCTGCCTCCTCAGGCTTGCAAGTGGCCGAGACAACAGGCACCTGTCACTGTGCCCTACGGTCATCCTTACTCTCTAATTCATGAGTGTGTTCAGGGTGGTATGGTCACACACTGTACTATCTGATTTCCGAAAAATTGTGTCACCCCCAAAAGAAACATCATACTAGCTGTCTGCTCCTCATCCCCTCCCACATTCATGCAGCTTAGGAAACAGGAGGTGCTAAAGTGAAGACCAGATCTGTGAGACTCCACAATTGGATCCTCTCCTCTCCTTCCCTCTCAAGAACCCAGAGATTCAAACACAAGCCCAATGCTGTGGATCCCAACTCCTGAGCTCATGGCTGTACTGTAAAATTCTCCAAGGAATCTACTTCTCAGATCATCAAGTGCCTAATCAGCCAATCAAACAGGGCAGAATGGTGGTAGGGTGTTTTTGGATCCACCTTTATTGCCATTTCAAACACCCAAGCCTATTTTAGTAGGAACTGACTACAGACACACTCAGCTCTGGGGATATCTTAATAATGGGAATGCCAGGAGCAGGGCAGATCTCTGAGCCAGTGAAGCTGGATACTTTCCTGTCTGCTGACTCACTTCTACCTCTGTGGAGGACTGCTGCTGATACCTGAAATCCTAATTCCAACAAATTCTATTTCGTTTATAAAAAGTCTTTTCCCACAATCAAGTTTCCCTTACTATTGGGGGGAGCGGGGGGAGGGCAGGAGAGAGGAACAGAACAGGGCAATGGGAGTGAATACAGTCAAAGAGTCTTATATATGTAGGAAATATCACAATGAAACTAAATACTTTGGATAATTAATATATGCTATTAACATGTCTGGAAAAATAGTAGTTGCCCCTAGATCCTAAGGAGATGACTGGGCAGTTAAGAGCATTGGCTGTTCTTGAGGATCCAGGGTTAGGTTCCCAGCATCCACACGGTGTCTCACAACCATGCATAACTCAAGTTCCAGAGGATTTAATGCCCTCTTCTGGCTTCCAGGGACACTTCTGGCACATACATAAATGCAGGGGAAAACAGCATACACTTATAATTAAAATAAATAAATTCTTTCTAAAAGTTTTTAAATTGCCCTTAATGTCTAGTTTGCCTTAAAGTATTTTTACTAGACTATTTTTTTTTTTAAAAATATTTACAGGATGGTCCGCGTCGAGTTCAGATCCGTACATCAGCACTCTGTTGGCACAGAAGTCCAGGTCAGAAATCTTCTTTGGAAACCAAGGAACAGTCTCCATAACTGCAAAATAAAACCCCAAAGCCACTGAAGGTTGAGGAGACAAAGTTAACCAAAGAGAAATTCAGAAACAAGTGCAGTTGGATGAGACGAAAACTTGTATATGGAAGGAAAATGAGTATGACTTGAGTGAATCGCTCTACTTCAAGGAATTATATTTTAATTAAAACCACTAGCTTTACTTTCTAAAAAAATTTAATATTCAGGTTGATTTCCCAAGTGCTAAAGCTTACCGTTCTTAAGTAACAAACCAAATGTTTAAATGTTTTAAGTCACGTATATAATTATCCGGTGAAGGCAAACTAGGACAATGCAGCTCCGCAGACCAGCACGCAAGTCCAGGAAAGGCTTTCAATACCTGTGTTTGTTTGAGGCAATGTATCATATCTAAACATCTAATTTCTAGATTTAAAAAAAAAATATTTGCAAGAGGCAGTGGCACACGCTTTTAATCCCAGTACTCTGGAGCCAGAGGCAGACGAATTTCTGTGAGTTCGAGGCCAGCCTGGTCTACAGAATAAGTTACAGGATAGCCAGGGCTATACAAAGAAAACATTTTTATTTTATTATTTTTAATTCTGTGTGTGTGTGTGTGTGTGTGTGTGTGTGTGTGTGTGTGTG